TGCCATTCGTTTATGCTGTGGCAAGGACTGCAGGAAGTAAACTGCCAATGGATGTGGTCAGTGTGTGCATTATTTCTCTGTCGACCAAGCTCTACGTTTAGACCATTTTGCGCTTGCATGTTATGCTTCTACAATCACAGTCCAGGTTGTGCTTATTTGCATTCTCTTGTTGGAAATCGACGAACTCCAACAAGAGCTCGAAGCTCAAGAGAGCAACTTGGAACGGATGGTGGAAGCATACCCACAACCCAAAGTTCAGAGCTATGGATCGCGAGCACTCTTTCAGGCATGGTGCCTTGTTGAGTGTGACATCCGCACCATGATGCTATAGCTATCGTCTGATTCCATTGCCAAGTCGTTGGACGAAAGCTGTAGTTTCCTCAATACCTTCTTTGCACCATTGCGAAGTTTGTGGCTCGCTCGTCATCAAGATCTCGCAGGATAACGTGTCCATCTCAGCAACTGCTGATTAGTGCCACCCAGGGCCTTGGCTTGCTCTTTTTCCACGAGGTGGCAGGGACCGCAGGAGAAAACCTGCCGATGGCTGGGATCGTTGTGTGCACAATTTCGCACTTGCAATATTTTGCTTCCGCAACTGCTATCTGCATTTGGCTGAATTTCGTTTTCTTTTAGGAACTCCAAGAGGCAGACAAGCAAGTTGGAACGGCTGTGGCAGCATACGCGTTAGTGGTGTCAGAACAATGGTTGAATGTGGCTTTGTCCACTGCTGTCTGCTGCGAAGCTCTGTTTTGTATTGTTCAGAGCAGCACTGTCTGGTTGCCATTAAATGTATCACCCAGCGCTGACAATAGCCCATTTTTCACAGTTGTTGGTGCCAGGCCATAATGAAATTCTGAACGTCGCGTACCGTGGACCACACAGGATAGCGCAGGCCTTTGTGGAATGGCACGGTTTTAAATAGCCCCCCTAGTCTTGTCAAACGTGACTGATGCTGCAGAGCGGGGGAGGTTTGCATGTTAGCACAGGAGGTGGGGTGGGTGGGCGGTGCTACTCACTTCGACATTATAAGGAACACAGGTGCAACTACTCTCACACAAATTCACGTCTCATTGCATGTGCTATGACCACAATGTTATTGAGGTCTCTCCACTCGTGAAACATTCCGAAACTCCATACAATGAGGTTTTCGATATTCTCGTGCATTCACGTTTTCATCAAATCAGTTGATTTAACGCTTAAAATTATTTGGGGAATACTGTGGCGTCAGTGCAGATTCCGTGCTTCACAGTTTCTGAGGAAGCTCCGTTGCGTTATCGGTGCGCGCTGGTCAACTGGACAGCTCGCAGTTTGCATTCCTTCGATTGCAGTCGTGAGAATTGGAAATTCTGCCCTTGAAAGCTTAAGGCCATGAGGGACATCTGTCTCTTCACAGGATGTCCCATATGTGGTTTTCATAAACTGCATATCGAGATCTCTGGGCGTGCAGCAGGCAGGGAGAGCTTCGCACCTTCTCCCCCTCACTCCGCAATACTAGTGCATTGGGCAATTTGTCTGGTCGGAATATGTCATGAAAAGTTGCACATTCTGGATATGCATATCCAGGAGATGGGCGCCATATCTAGTGATCTGGCCGTGTCCAGCGTATGGAACCCTCATATCGCTGGTATGGAGCTTGCGTATCCAGGATCCTAGCTATGGATATGGCACACCCAGATGTGTAAAATCCTGGAAAGGCACATCTAAGACGTGCCATGTACTGGACATGCACATCCAGGATAAGCTGCCCATGCCCTATTCGATATCCAGGATATGGGACTTGTCATCGATGTGTACATGTGGACGCACGCAAGCAACCAGAACCTTGTGTGCTTGCTTTCAATTGTGTTAACCAAAGGTTGCGCAGCATTGATTGATGTCGGGGCATGACATCAGCGCCTCTAGTTCACTGCCTGCCATGGTGATATTCACGCGTGCAAATGAGTTTGGCAAATGCTTCGCGATTTCACATTAATTCATATGCACTGCTTTGTTCGGGTAGTGAGATGGTAACGCCCTCCTTCTTGACTGTGTGTGCAATATTTTCTTGGCTGCATCATTTCGTCCTTGTTTTGGACCAAGGAGACAACAATGAGATGACCTTGGGGCCGTCTGTGCAGCAGGGGCGCATGAGTCATGCCAGAACGCGACAGGGCAGGTTTGCAATCGTTGGCCGCACATGCGACCACCCCCTGGTCAACGATGTCAACGAGCTGAAAGTCAAGGCTAGCATGCACATCGGCGGCAAATGTGGCGAGTTGTTTGGCATCAGGTATGGCTTCTGTCCTCGAAGCTTGGTTACCGAATGTCTAATTGCCAAATCTGTGGATGAGGGAATTCTTCCCTGCAAATCGTGTAGCAGATACGTTGGCACGGTGGGTGCATACCGCAGGATTAGTTGCAAGCCGTACATCATCTGTGGCAGGTGCAGGATACCCACTGAGCAATCAGATCTCAAGATTGACGTTTTTCATGAAGAGCTCAACGGGCTGCCGGTGCTTGGCATCAGGTTGTTTTTCCTTGTTCGGCAGAAGATGGATGTTTTAATTAATCGACATGAACTGGCAGATTAGCATCTGATTGGGGGGCGTTTATTGTGGAGGCATATTACCAGGGACGAAAAGACTAGAAAATTGAGGCATATTCAGTTGTGTGCCTCTCGCTGCGCAACTCCGCTACCCCACTCTTAGAATCTCTCGCCTGACAGCGTGTTGACTTCCAGTAGAGGGTAGCGGAACTGTTCATATTGTATTTGTCGTTCCGCGCTTAATTCTCAATCGGAAGTTTCCCGCGCCACTGTAAAGTGAACTGCTTGCTCCACGACCCATCAATTTGCTTCAGGTAAAAACCTAAAACATCTTGTTTATCTCGTTCGCGTTGTTCCCATTCATAGTACAAACGCTCCAACAATTCAGATTTGGTTGGGTGAAGCGAGCTCCAGACCAGTCTGATTATAGACAATCTGTGGGTCCGTCAGCGTATAATCAGCGTCTGTCCAAAAGACATGGGGAATCTTATTCAGATGCAGTTTCCCTAATCAGAACATCAGAAGAAGACAGAGCAAAGTGCCATTGATACTTAATGCTCAAACTGATCAAAATCCCATGAGGGGGATTATCTCCGAAAAATCCATAAAAATCTATATAAATACCGAAACCAAATCGACGTAATAACCGACACGGCGCCAGTGGTCTGCATTACAGAGGTTATGTTGGCAATCACTCCAACAAAGAGCACGGTGCCGCAGCGGAAGTGCACACTCAGTGGGTGCTTCGGTGTGAAGCCGATGTATACGATGGCGTCAGTCATGACATGCCTACCATTACTCGAACAGCGTTTTGAGCCTAATGTTCGGTATCAGCAATTAGAGGGCGTGTGAGGGACGGATCACGAACGCGAATGACAAAGCCGACAGCAGTGGACACCCCTCTCGATCACTGCTGATCTGATGGCCACGCGACCCACCGACCCGCCTGCCCGTTCGTAAGACTCGCTAATCGGGCGAGATGCCCGCATTGATGCCCTCCATGAGTACTATCAGGCTGCGGGCGACGTACTGGGAGGCGCGCCCCTGGCAATCCCGCTCCCCATCCAGCACATTCCATCGAGCCGCGCCTACGGCGGTCACATCCATCAAATCCGATCGACGGGAGTGAATCGCTAAGGGAGCCTCGCTAATGCCGCTGGGTACGGCAAACACCCCTGACGTGGCGGCCCCCATGCGCCACTGACGCCTTGAGAGGGGGTTCCAAGCTCTGTAGTCCATCACCTTCTTTGCTTCCGCCACCCGGGCTTCCGAGCCGAGGCGGGCGCCCGGCTGCCACTGGCGCCTCGCCCCCTCTAGCGGCGCCCTCCAGCGGCCGCGCAAGGCTAGCCCATCGCGCGGGCGGCCGGCAGATTTCAAGACAAGCGAGCGCACCGTTGCGGACGCGGACTTTGGCCATTGTTCCTCCTTCGCAGTCGACCGCGCCCCGGGGACTGCTCAGAGATCGCGGCCGGAGTTCAAGCTGTTGGCCGTGCCTTGGACGCGCCGCCCAGGTGCCACTCACTCGTTCGAGAATCTCGACTTGAACGCTTGTCTGGAGACTTCATGGTCTATCGCGCTTCGTACGACGCGTGTGCGCGCCCACGTGTTCGCGGCAGCACACCGCTGGCGGCGTTGGCCGCCGGCCGTCACACTGCCCACTCCGCTTCGGTGCCGACCTTTCCCGCCTTTGCTGATGCCCAATCGGCGATGGCGTCAGCATCCTCGCACCGAGTTGGCGCGGCGTTGGCTTGCATCCCTGGCTGCCGGGCCGCCACACGGCATGCCACCGGGCGACACGCGGACGAAAAGCCGCGCCTGTCCGTCGCGTGGGATTATCTTGCACCGGTTTGGAGCGGCGGACACCGGGCGCCGGCCGACGATGGGGGGTACCGACGATGCGGTGAAGCTGGGGGAAGTGCAGGATCTTGCGGCGTTGTGGATTGTAAAGTGCTCGCGGAAGCGCTGGGGAAGGAGAGGGGCAGTGGCGGCGATGTTGAGCCTCGGCCTACCGCTCGGTGCCGGTGGCAGAAGGGAGGTTAGGGGTAAACAAGCTGATTGCAGATGGGTGTTGTGGGGTTGAATGCGTGTGAGGCCTCGCGTTGAGCGTGGGCGGCGCCTTGACAGCTCGGCGGCAGCGCCCAAGGGCGGCGGGGATGATCTGGGAGGAGCCTGCGTGGTGGTTCCACGCACGGCGCCACCACTTTCCGGAGGGAATATGCGGGAAGGGGGCGGGAAGGGGGCGGGTAGCGCGGACGTCCCGGGGAAAACTCCCAGGCGTCGCCCACGTCGGATGGGGGACCGTGTCTTCGGCAACCTGTCCCCATGGGAGTCAAGCTCCCGGCCCCATACCCTCTTGCACGCCCCTTCCGTCCCTGGATCGGTAGATTGGCGCAATGCCCAGCCAATTCGATCGGCTCTGCTCCTGAACAGGCCTCAGAACGGTTTAATGTCTCCGATGCAGGGTAAAAAGGCGGCCATGGAGCTTGTCACCGCAGTCCGGGAGACCCTGCTGATGATCTACGCGATCCGCAACCACCGGGTGATCGTGCGCCGCAACGTGCACCACTGCCAGCAGCTGCGCCAGTACGTCCGCAGCCTGGAGCCCGTGGTCCAGAGCATGGAGGCGGCTGCCGACGAGCCGGAGGTCCAGACCGCCTTCTCCAGGCTGCTGACGACGCTGAAGAGCGCCGAGAGCCTGATAGAGAAGACGGAGGCCATGGGCGTGGTGTCCTCCTTCGTGAACGCCAGGAGCATCACGGAGGAGTTCAGCAGCGTGTGCGCCAGGCTGAGCGAGGCCGTTCAAGGTGGGGATGGGATCTTGCGTTGAGCGTCGTGTTGAGCGCAGCCAGATGCCCACACGATGCATTGACACAACCAATCACGACCTGGTCGTGGCTGGCATACAATTACTGGCTGCACCAAATCGGTGACTTTCTGCACCAAATCCCTCTAAAACTAACCTAACCTAAACTGCAAAACCTAAAAAACTAATCCTAAACCTACCCTTATCCTAATCCTCACCCTAAAACTCACCATAAACCCAACCCAACCCTAAAACTGAGGCTAGGGTATAGTGTGCACGTGATTCGGTTCGAGTAGTCACCGATTTGGTGCAGCCAGGAATACTATTTCGTCAGCATGGCTGTTATTCTTCAGCACCAAACACGTCCAGCCAAGTGCCCCCGGCATCAAGGATGCACGTTTTGCGTCGAAACGTGTGCACAACCAATCACAACATGGTTATCCGTCAGCACCCACATGTCCACCCCTGGGCACCCGTACATATTTTGTATTTTAAGGATACATAGTATGCATAACGATATTACATATATTAAGGATGCCCATTTGCTTCGATATGTGGCGAAGTCGTTTTGCAAACCCAGCCCTACTGGGTGAGTCACACTGAGTCAAGGATCATCAAGCGCTGGACTCCCTTTCCTTGTCCATCCCACTCCTAAACCGAACCCTTGTTGAGACCAGACAGGAGGGAAACAAGATTTTCTTGTTTTCCGACTATCCCATGCAGCAACCGAAGGGGAAGCTTAAGTACTTCCCACCATCATCCCCCCCCCCTCCTCAAGCCCGTCAAGCCAAGAGCGCTATGATTTCTAAGTGCTATCTTTGGATGTCTGCGATTTTTCAGTTTTCTTTGTTTTTTCAATTTTCATTGACTTAAACTACAGAGTGTCATGAACCCAATTTAGCAGTCACCCTGCTTTTCCCAGCCAGCCACTCCAAAAGCCCGTCATACCAAGAGTGGTATGACTTCCAAGTGCTATCCTTGAACGTCTTGGACTTCCTTTGACTCAAAGTATAGAGGGGCGTGAACCCAATGGCACAGTTGCATTTGGTTTCCTTGTCAGATTCCAAAAGGCCCGCATCTCTTCTGAAAGGAAGGGGTGGTCCATGGACTCCTAACTGTGATGGAGTAGTTGGAACAGACAAAGGGAGCGGCCAGCAATGGCCTGACAAAACTGGCAGCTATTCAGCTATCAGCGTGCGTCGGCCTTGACCCCAAACCCTGAGAAGGATAGCGAATTCATATCTGTGCGTTCTAAAGCTCCAACTCTTCAGTATGTGGCAGCAAACTCTGCTGCAGACGATGAAGTATGTGGCTGAAATGCACAAACATTTGGACGTATACAGTGTGGTGGATTTTAGAATCCATTCATGGGCCCATTGTAGAGAAGCACAAGGTCTGCTGCACAGGGCAGCATCATATTTGGTAATAAAAAAACAGCCCCACTCTGCTGCAGAGGGCAGCATCGTATTCGGGATAAAAAAGCAGCCCAGCACTTGTCTGACTGCAATCAAATGAGTGATTAATCAATATCTTCACTGAAGGACAGGCATTTTGCATGGAAACACAGTCCCAAATTTTGCAAGGTTATACTTCAACAGAATAGGACATTCATGTTGCTGCACGTTGAAGAAACACCTTTGTGGGCACAAACCTCTGCAGTTGGCTGCCTAGACTGAGAAACCCACCTGTGACGAACGGTAGCGACGAAGCGCCCACCAATCTACCCTGAAATCGAACTATGGCCCCAATTGGTAGCATTGAAAGAAATTGACCAGGTATTGTAGAATTGACTCAAAGTTCTCATGCTCTCTCTGAATCAGTCTGCTAAGTCACCTTGATAGATTAGTTTACTTGATAAGTTGACAGGCTAATAACTTGATGCCTGGTACAGCAGAATTAGCCTGTTGATTACTTAATAGATTCAGCACACGTGTCCTGCACTTCACCAACAGGTCTCCAGCTTGCTCAGTCCACCGTTGGGGGACGTGAGCTCCTGGAGATGAGGCAAGGGATGAGGAATCTTGCAGATGCATTGAAAGAAGCACAGTCCCAGGCACTGGGCAAGCACCAGCTGCCAGTGCATCAGAAGATGCGCATGATTCTAGACTGGATTAACAGTGGGACCGTGGCCGCTGACAGCGGCCGTCAGATGCTCCATGTGCTCTTGGAAGATGCCGTTGGAAAGGCACAGCTAGAGGTGGGCGTCGTGCATTCCTGGAACTCAGTCGGAGGGATTCTATGTTGCCTGAAGCGATGTGAAGTAGTTTGCCTCCCAAAGTGTGACAAATTGTGTTAACGCACATTTTGAGCCGTGCGTTTGTCATATTCAATTGCGGGTAGCTGCAATTCTGCAAGTCAAGCCTGAAAATCGCTGATGAAGCCGAAGCTACATTTTGTGCATCAAACTAATGTGTAGCGTTTTGCGTGCATAAGGGGGACCGTGTCTTGGTTGTGCTTGGCACTGTTGTGTATATAGGGAATGAATGTGTTCACTTCTTGTGACTGAATTCATCCAAGAGGCTGCTACTCACCGAAATTCTCCGGCCCACAGATTTGGTGTTGGTCAATCGCTGTCATCCGTATGATAGCTTCACACAACGGTGTCCATACCGGGTTGTTTGATCTGTACATCTTCAAGTGCTGAAGATCTTGCATCGGCGGTGTAAGCCGCAACAAGAATGGGCCGATCATTTCCCCTCAGCCACGTCTTTAAGTGCAACTTTCCACCAGCCTAGTGACGCCCACACGGCTGCTGTGACCAGGCCGAGCGCCAACAGTCCCTCCACGACATCGCCACAAGGCTGGAGGCGTGCAGGAGACAAACGGACAGCACTGAGAAGTTTGACCTGCTGCACATCGAGGCAGCTCTGGGTTCCCAGACCTCCAGTTCAGGGGACTCCAGGGAGCCCCCTGCGGGCTTCGTCTGCCCCATCAGCCTGGGTGTCATGCAAAAGCCAGTGCTGATCCCCGAGACAGGCGTCTCGTATGAAGCCGAGAGCATCGAGGAGTGGTTCAGGAGGGGAGAAACGACATGCCCAAAGACAAACTTGAAGTTGTCGTCCACGTCCCTGGTGCGAAACTATGCGCTGCAGACCGCGATCCATGAGTGGAAGAGCTGGCAGGGCGATGCTAAAGACGAGGTGAGGGCTCACTGCAGTGGTGCAGAGCCCTGTCTTTCCACGCAATGTTGATATTGCACTGCCAGTGCTCTTGCAACAAGAGTTGCACAACTCATGCAACGAAGAGGCATTACCTACACGTGGTGTTGCAGCATAGTTCTGCATGTCGCCACCGCAGTGTGACCAATACTCATGCAGCGAGTTCCAGCATTTGCGTGTTACCCACATTACGCAGGGACATGGCAGTTATATGCTCATTTGCAAGTGAGTACGTACAACATTTGGTATCAGAAAGAAACCTGTTGAAATTCGATATATGGTCTTGATGCGGATTGCCCCCTTCCAGTGCTTGTCTGCGTCGTATCAGAAAATGGGAAATAGATGTGCTTCATGTTTCTGAGAGGAAATCGAAATTTCCAGTAGTTTAATAACTGGGAAGATAATTGGTGGCTTGCATTATTGAGGAAAGCTGTGGTGATGAAATGGAGAAGCATTAGTGAAAGCGCAATCCAAACTACAATCAATGCACTATTGTGTCTGGTTTGCTGTGGCTTTAAATACAATAACACATAGTTTTAGAGAATACGAATTCGCTGAGACGCGCAGAGGCGTTGCAAAAAGCGGATAATGTTTTCAGTTTATTGGAATTGGCTGTCTCATGCACGGCATCCCTCTGCTTATGTGGAGTATGACTGCTGAGATTTTGGCGTAGACACTTCTAGAAGTGCACGGCAGGCATATAATAAAGAAAATTCCAAAGAGCAATGCCCGTCGCTAGGACTCTGTTTTATGGCCACGAAGCTTGGCGGTTGCAAAGAAGCTTCAGGCTGCCACGAGCTCTCCTTGTGTGAAGCGTGTCTTTGTGCTTGAGATGCAGAATTTCCAAACATTCGAGCAAAATTTGCAATGGGTTGAGTCGTTCTGTTGCTTCCAGCCATTCTATTGGCAAAACACATGCATCAAGTCAAAAGCAAGAAGCTCTTAATTGAGAATCGAGTATCAATTTCTGCCTCTGGTGTTTGTTTTATTATTGTGCCAACATTATTGAAGCACAGGTTTGAATTAACGTCAAGGTGTTTCTATCCGCAGTGTGATGAAGATGGTGATTCCGAAACTGAAAGACATCACACAGCTCGATCACAGCCGCGGGCCTTAGGGCGACGAAACACGGAGAAAATTCCGACGGCATGGACAAAGAGGGATGAAGTGGAAATTCGCAGGGCACATTCAGATCGAGGTGTGGTGGAGGCTGTTTTCTTTTTTAATAAGTTTTCAAAGTCTTGAGAGTCAATCGTTTTTCAACGATTTTCAGTATTCTCCAGATTTTCAACGATTTTCAGCGTTGATAATGGTGTCTGCTCTGTGCATATGAGTGCTGAGCTTTTGGGAGCATCTAGTTTTGGATGTCTGCGCGAGCTTGTCTGGATGAATGACAGTACTGTGTCAATAGGAAATTTTCATCAGAGACTGTTAGTAAACACGTTTTTGGTTGGGTATCCAGGGATTGCCTGCTGATCGGACTCGTGTGCATTTGGCTAGATGCTCGGAATCTGCAACGACAGATAGACAGTGTGCAGGCCAGCCTTCGTAGAATTAATTCAGAGAAATTACACATACTTCTTTACCATCTATTCATTGTATACCTTGGTCTTGTCCATGGCATGATGCTCCGCCGCAATAGACAATGAATGACAAACTTTTGCATGTGTTATAGTAGCAAGAACATCTCTGCTTCGTTTGGGAGATGCGCTTCAGTTCGCGTGGCTCATTGGTGCAGATGCAAGGCAGAATTGCTGGCAATGTGAATGACATGTTCCGTTTCTTCAGTTCTATTCATTTGCAATATTTTCAGTAATTCAGTTTCACCGCTTTTGCAAACTTGGCGCTGTGCTCAGCCTCACAGTTTATTGGACGCAATTTGCAACATGCGCATTATTCATTCTTCGATATTGCTTGAAATGCAAGGAACGAAGCCGTTGGTCTTGTGTACATCCGCACTACTGTTCAGCAGCACATCTCAAGCATCTAAAACAAACAGAGAACTCCATTGACGCTCAACAGTGTCGCACTGCCATGGCAACTCGTACTGAAACAAAGCTGGCTGTTCGCACCTCCAGGGCCTGTTGCTCATCACACGCACATCGACGTCGAGATGCGGGCGGCCACTCGTGCATTTGCTGTTTTGTGCAACATCGCCAAGGCCATCTCCACTATTCGTGAAATGGTGGAGTGCATGGGTGAACGCGTTGGAAGGAAGGATGTCGGCCCAGAAACGAAGATATTGTGGACCAGATTGCTCACCTTTGCCTTTCCACAAGCGGAGAAGCACCTGAAAGACGCCCTGGCGACAGGAAGTGCTGGCAAGGATCTGCAGTCATGTTTGGGCAGCTGCTGGGGGGTGCAGTGCAGATTTCTTGAGGCCCTTCAGGGCCACGCTGGTATGAGAGACCTGGATGATGTCAAACGGCTGAAGCTTGCCATGGACCAACAGGGTCGCCTGTTGCGGATGCTGGGATGCAGGGCGCATCATGCTTCTGAACGTTCTGGGCATGAAATTTTGGCTCGGCGCAAGAAACTCGACTCCAGAAATGGTGTCCAAGGTAAGGATCCGACTCGAAGGAATTCTAGCTGATGATGGTAAAAATCTGTGCACACATGTGAAAATTAGTATTTGGTTTGCTCTCTCAACACCCAACTCCTGAAAGTCATCAGAAGATTTCTTCTGTGAGTTGTGGTGGTGGGAGCACCTCCAATACATCACTGACAAACGTGCACAACGAGTGACGTTCACCTCACAAGCTGACATTGCTTGCTGGTTACATTGTCTTGCACCCCTCTGTGTTGCTTTGTTACACCTTACATGGCGAATACTGCTATATCAATGCAGATCTTGCGCGAAGCCTGGGCAATAGCCTGGGCAAAAATTTCGCCTTTCTGAGTGAGAACTGCAACGAGCTAATGTCAGGAATTGCCTATCATGTAGGGAGTCATTCAGATATCCACGCTGCTAGCAACATTAGAATGGAACATTTTGCGATGCCGAGCGCGATGCCATTTGACACCAATTGATGCTGTCACAGTTGCTTTGGTACTATCGCAATTACTGGCAATTGTGCCACATAGCGTTGAAAGGGCATCGCAATTATCATTGCCAAATGGGCATTTTCTGCTAGTGAAAGGCGCTGGCTTTCCCATGCACCCATAAAATCCTTGCTGTAAGGGCCTCACAGTTGCTCTAAGTCTCCCTATGTCGCTCTTTTGGTACCTCTGGCTCTGGATTTTGGACCCATGCAAATTTTCTGCACAAGTTCAAGAGACAGTTCTCGGCATTTCTTCTCCCCCTTGCCGCATACTTTCGCTGGGACCGCGGCCTGTGTTCATGCTGCTGGAGCCCTTGTGGGTTGTCCTTGCCTCCAACCTGTAAGTGCAGGTGCGCTGGGGCTGTTGTTATTTCCCATAAGCTAGCTAGAATATCGGATATGTTGTCCAACAATATGTCGGTGCTGAACAGTATATGATGAAAGGTGGTGCACACTTTGCAGACCCTCCCGGACCGCCGAACGACAGCAAGCCTCTGCCCCGACGAGGCAATCCGTTCCGCGAGGCTGCCGTCCTAGAAGAGCTAAAGGACAACGTCGCCATCGTGTCCGCTCTGGTGGAAGACCTGTGCCGCTGCGAGGCCTTCGGGCGCCTCGACATGGAGCTTCAGGTGAAGCTAGAGAGCCACCTGCAGTTCGTCGTCCCGAACTTGGAAGAACTCGTGGAGTGGTGCATGGAGGGCGGTGGTCGTCTGCAAAGGGCTCACGCAGGTTTCAGCAAGTGCTACCGGCAAGAGGACGTGCTGGTGGATGCGCTCCTGCAGGACGAGCTGATGGGGTATGAAGAGGGCGTGCTGCAGCTCAGCGAGGCGATCAATCAACAGGAGAGCCTGTTGAAGAAGCTCAAAGTCGCCTTGCGGTGACCGCTGGTGCCGGTTGCGTGGTCTGACATTCCACAGGCGTGCACACTGCACCTGTGGAAAGGCATGGCGACCCGGCAGTGGGTGCACCCGCCAAGGCTTTGCACACATCATCAATGCCGTAGATTGGACTGTCCACGAGTTGCATTTGCCGCTTTGCAAACACGAAGGGAATTATTGTGTAGGAAATGAAGGACGCTATCATGGAACATAGAATTAACATTTTGGCAGCTACAAACGATTCTGGTCGGTCGCTTCATAAATGAGACGCTTAGGAGGCTGTGCATCACATAACATTTTTTTAGCCGCGGGTAGCCAGTGAAGGACGTCGGCAGATTTTTTGGACTCCCACAACTCTGTATGCTTGTATTGAAATTCATCCTGCAACTATCATTTGCGGGTCCCCAATGCGATGATTTGCGATTCATCAACATCTTGGGTGCTTCAGATATTTCCTTTTAACCTTTCGTCCTCAGGATTTTGAAAGCATAAAAGAACACACCTTCAAAGAGTGTTGAAAGTGTGAACTCAGCTGGCATGCTGCAAACAACATGGAAGTAAGCAACCAGTATGGCCAATTTGGCGAACGGGGTTTGCTTCTTCATGTGGCGAATGTAATGAGATTTTGAAATGCGTTCTGTTGTCAGCATTTCGTTGTGTGGTACTTTCCGATACGTGTTGCGGATGGTTGGCGTGGATGGATAAAAATTCTGCTGGAGCCCTGTTGGAGGTAAGTTAATACGTTTTCCTAATCACATCACTTGCATTTATCAAACTCGGACTCTCTGAACCCAAACGTTCATAATCCATCCTAGCAAGTCCTTTGGAAGTTCATCAGCAAGCTTTGACTATCCACTATTTCGTTCTGTCCGGAAATTCCGAGCCGCAATGCAACTCGTGGGGCAACCTACAGGATATCACGATCCACCTGATATCGTCCTTTGGGGGTCTCAAATACCAGGGCAATGTAGAACAAGCAAACCTCAGAAGAAATCAGTGCAGAGGGGTCTCAGAAGGGCACAGATGCAAATGACATACACACACGGCATGTTTTCCACAGAGCATCTTCGATTCTTCCTCCAAGGTAGGGCTGCAAAGCAACGAGGTATCCTGTGGCTGTGGCCATGCTGGTCAAATGTGACAATACTCTGCCCTCATTGCTCCACGGATCTTACAGCATCAGGACGCAGGCGTGGGCAAACAAGTGCAGGTATGCATCTGCGACTGATACAGTGGTGTACTAACGCTCGATTGCTGTATCTGTTCTTAGCCTGAGTGGCGTTGCGTGAAGTTGCGCCAAACAGCTTGCATGGTATGGCCTTCAGAATTGAGTGCAGTGGTATCAAGGCTTGGGCATGAGCCTGGGAAGGCAACAGACTATCCATTTGAAACAGGGTTGTATTTGTTGACCGGGCAGATTTTCTGCCAGCCATGTGCAGGGGCAACTCGTGTTGAAGAGTGGGGATCTGTCACAGTATGTAACGCTAGCGTGTATGCTGGTCACATCTGCAGAGACTGTACGCCATACTCAGTTGGTGGTGTAAGACCCAGCACGAAGATTGCAAGGAGTGCTCTGGACCACCTTGAAAGTGTGTGCCCTGTCCAGCACAGACGTTGATGATTTGCGTTCTCGCCCACACCATCCAATGTGACAAAAGATAATGCACAAAGTACTTCACCCACCCACCACCCACATCCGCTGGTGTCTGGACAGGTGGGATATTGAATTTTGACTTGGAGGTAATGAGATTTGTTTCACACACCAGCCTTGCTTCATTGGCGCATTTTGACTCCAAGAAGCTGTTCCAAGATGAAAATGTTAAGATTTCTAGGTCTGGAGTATCCACTTTGTTGACATTGGGCTCACAAGTCACATGTCGCTCCGATTTCTTGCAAACAGTGATGTTGCTTTTATGAACTACACCCAACACCACAGAACAGAACCATGGAAGATTGAGATAGAAACAATGGAAATAGGGTTTTGTACGGCAGGAACAGCAGGGTTGATAGGCATGCGTTAAATCCGACCCGACCTTTGGCATTTACGTTGGCGGCACCCCAATTGTGGCTAGGTATGTTGGGCACATGTATGGTCACCAGCAAGGCGCACGAGCAAATTGCCTAGGTCGTTGGTGCCCAACTTCAAGCGGCCATCTGGGGGAGTTTCCTGTGGGGTCATGGCCGCCGCCTCGCATCCCACACCCAAAAGGGGGTTCAGACAGCCCTCCGTTGGTATGCTTGCTGCATGGTGCAAGATCGCTGCAAGCAGGCCACTGGCAAGATGTGACAATTGGCAAATTGCGGAGCGCCATGCGCTGAGGCCGGGCGACGCAACAATGTGTAGTGTGCAGGCGCCTCAACATAATGGGTATGGTGGGTGCTCGCTTGGTAGGCAAGAAATTCTGGCATATCTTTGAGGCATCGCAACAAATGCAGTGTCTCTGTTTTGGGTCCACAGCATGGACTCCTCGCCTTGCCGCTGCCTCGGTGCCCAATTGGCTAATTCTGGCCCTCGAAACCTCAATATGAGTATGATCAATGATCAATGAGTATGACATACGGTCGTGGCTTTGGGGGCGCGTGCTCACGGTGCTTCTTGGTGGTAGGCTCAGGTCCTGAAGGGACCCTTGAGGCCGCAGCGGTGGAGGTCCAGGTGCTGCAAGCGCGAGTGTGGTCTGACTCACATGGGACGAGATTCACAGATGCGACAAGAAAATTACTAATAACAAGACCACATGGCTTATTAGCGGTAGGGCAAACTGCATCCAGTGTAGCCCGCCGTGCATCCAAAAGAAACAAATGTTGGGTATTCAAAGTACAAATTACCACCATATCATCATAATGTATGGTAATAACATAAAAATCACCCAAATAGCTACTCGAACACTATGGCCCAAATTTTGGGGCCCTACATTGGACTATCATTTAATGTACACTAATTTTGTAATCTCCCATTCGTGTGGCCTTAAGGAATTAGGGAAAGTGTCTTGGCCAATATGGCCTCTGTAGATTTCCATAACACTCCAGTGCTGCTGGGCGAGCCATTTCCACACCCTACATTGAGATCTCTGGGTGGACAGGAGGACCAAGTAACAGGGCGAGGCCCCATAGGGGGCTTCCCGGGTCCGCACCTAATTGAGAGCAGAAGAAGGTAGCTAAGGTGAGGGCACACGTACGTGGGGAGGGAGTGCACATGAGGCATCTAAAGCCCGTTCCCATGGTGAAGGCGTGACACTCAGGGGCCCAACTGCAGAATGAAAGGAAAATTGCACATTGCTAGTATGCACGAGGTGGGGTGCACTGAGGAAGATGGGGAGAAAGCAAGATCCCAAGGCTAAATGATGGAGTCAGGCAGTGCGCAGCAATTTTAAAACCAAAGAGGTGGTTTCTGGCGCAGAAACAGTGACGCAACATAAGATGTGGTCCCTGCCAAAATTGCTTTGTGATGTTGATGGTTTCTCAACCCCGCGCATTGCCCTGGGTTTTCGCAACATGAAGATCCCATTCACCATCACCAAGCGGCAACCGATCCACCCCTGGTTCTGGGGTTGAATATGAAATCCCTCCCTCCCTCCCTCCCTCCCTCCCTCCCTCCCCCTCCCCCCTCTATCCTTTCTGCAGCTTGTTGTGTTGCAAAACCCACCACTAATCTTCTTGCCGATTGCCAATTCCAAACGTGGCAGTGCATGGCCGCCTCTAGTGATGGCGATTGGTGGGTTGGCTGCAACCTGTCAGGCTGCCTGTTCGCCTTACCAATCCAACCCCCACCC